CACCTCGTGTTGCCTGCGAAAAGAAAACCACAACAACCACAAAGTTGTGCATCTCCCTTAATTGCTGATGTCAGAGGCTTCAGAGAGGTTTGGTGGAGATGTTTGCAGTGTGGCAGAGGCACCTGGCAGGTTTTGCTGCCTTACCCTGCAGTACATGCTGAGCTGTCTGCACGCAGCGCAGGGCAGGGGACGAGTACACGGAACTGACGGTCACCTCCTGCTCCAGCAGAGCTTCCCCTGGATGGCAACAGCAAAGTGTGACAGCTGAGAAATTACTACAAAACACTTTCTGCAAAAAAAAACACCTCAGAGCTTTGTAATGTCATCAACATGGGATATGTTGGCAGTCCCTGTCTGTTAATTTTTCCCACTATCTGCTGATTGAGCTCATTAGAAAGCTCATTCTGGTGGAAACATCAATTCCAAAATGAGTGTTGGAAAGATAATTACAGAAGATTCACCCCAAATCTGCAAACAGTAGTTATAGGCATGTGGCTGTCTCCATAAATCTGAACCATCAGAGACAAGCAATTACAGCAGAACCAGCACTGTGTCAGTCATGCCTCTTGCTCAGGGAGCACAAACAACTTCATCTGGCGAGTAAATTGAGTCAGCCTAACCCACACCACCCATCCTCTCCTGACCACCGAGCTGCTTCCTCTGGCCAGCTCCTTCACCCCTCACTGTCCACTCAGGGACAACTGCACAAGGTGTTCATCCCTTGCAGACAAGCAGCAGGGCACAGGGAGTGTTCTGGTTCCTCCAGGAACTGGCAGAGGGGGTCCCAAAGACAAGTAACCAGCTGTGTTCTCTGTTTTACTATTCAAGAAAATATTGCAGTGGTTTCCCACAGAGAATTGTGGGAATTGAGTGCTGGCAGGAAATTTTTCTGCTGCAATGCCAGCATGAGCTTTGGCAGATGATGACAGCCTGCTTCCCAAACCCTTACATTTGCAGGAGGATAATATCCAGCTTACCTATAAGCCTTGACTGGAAAATACCACAGCAAGATAAAGGAGGATCACATTCAAACTGCTTCATGCTGTCTTTCTGCCTCGGCAGGGAGGAGGGGAGGTTCAGATCTGCTCTGTAATATTTCCCTGAAACAAGGCAGGACATTTTGCTGTGGCACAAGGGAGGCAGCAGCTCTGTTGTGTTTGTTTTACAGACTGTCAGTGTCTCACTGATGAACAACAGCCACTGCTATTACCTTAAAGGGAGCATGTTTTAAGGTCACAACACTGGCTTGGGAAATTATCTGTCCTAAGAGAACAGCCCCTCTTCTTCCAGCTCAAAAGGAGCAAATGGGGAGGAGGAGAGGAAGAACAGGAAATCAGGAGAATTTGGCTTTGTGGGACTCAAGAGAAACAAAAATTGACTCCCTATCTATATTCTTTTACAGTTGCCAAAATGACCAAAAAAAACCCTATTTCCACTGAATCAAAATGAAAACTATTGATTACACAGCTATATGGTATCACTCTCCTTATCTGCTGTGAATTCCATGTCTTAAAGATGGGAAGTCTCCAGCATAGCAAGGCAGACTTTCAGCACAAACCTCTCACTCATGAACTCCCACCTTCTTTTTCCCTTCTTTCCTCCTGACACACATTTCCCTGTTTTGGGTCAGTTTCCTTCACCTGAAAACATACCTTTTTCTTTTTCTTTTTTGAGAGAGAGGAAATTCAAATTTTAATTTAGGTCAGTGCTGACATTTTATTTCCACCACAGATTGCGCAGGTTGGACTAGTGACATAGTGTGACTCTGATCAAGAGCCCACAATTCTGACTCAGGCCCAGAAAGGTGGAGGGGTCTGACAAGAACCACATAATGAAAGGTTATGAGGGTGCTCCGGTGATTTGTTCATGTTCAGTGAGACAAACTTCCAGCAGCAGCACAAGAGCTTTCTTTATCTGAATTTAGAGAGCATAAACATGAAGGACTTTAGGACACTGTGACCTGGTTCTGTGCAGGTTGAAGCAGCGCTGTGCCTGACTTTCACTGTTACCATTTACACAATGATTGAATCCCTTCTACCCATTACTGGGCTTAATTGGGTTTGGCCCTGGTTTTTGAAGATCCTCCTGTTCCCTTACTCACCATCTGCAGTCAGGCACTGCTGAAGCCAAGATTTGCCAAAGACCTGATCCACTCTTTCCCCGTGGCTCATCACCAGCACCCCTCTCCTCAGGGCAGCGTTCTGGGAAAAGGGAGTTTCAGAAGGATGTTATCTACAACCTGCAGGAAAAGCCTGGATTCCTGGAGAAGAGACAGCAGAATAGATGCCTGTCCTTAGGACAGTGATAAGCCTGACTGGTTCTCCACTAAAGGCAAATGAAAGATAATCATAAAATCATTAAAGTTGGAAAAGACCTTTGGCTTTTTGAGTCCAGACTTTGACTGACCAGCACGTTGTAACTCAAGCACAGCACTGAGTGCCACATCCAGATGTTTCTTGTACACTTCCAGGTTTGGTGACTCAACGCCTCCCTGGGAAGTCTGTTCAATGCTTCACCACCCTTTCAGTGGAAAAATTTTTCCTGGTATCCATCCTGAACCTGCCCTGGTGTGGCTTAAGGCCTCTTGCTCTTGTCCTGTCAAAGGTCACATCCCTGACCCTCACGGGCTGCAGGTTTTAATTCTGTGCTAGCACAAGTGAAAGGCAGTGCTGGCAACAGGTCTTGTAACCTCAGTGTGGGAAGGAATCATAACTTTAATTTATATCATATAGGTGATATAAACAAAAATCAGAAAATTAGCTAAGATCTGACTGGTAATGCTTTTTTCTGCAACAGGACCAACACCAAGCTTCTCCTTCTTTTCCTAGTGAAAATACTACTTCTACATTTTCATAACTGTGTGGCCAAATCAGCCCAGATCTGTGAACCCAGATCTCCTACAAGGCCACTTTTTTTACTCAGACTGCATGGAATTACAAATAAATTTGAAGTAGTTTGGGGTTAGTGTACAATGCACATTAAATACAAATGAGAAGAAGGAGAAACAGGCCAAAGGTTTTAAAACTTTAAAACAGTGTTACTGCAGCACTGAATTAAGTGCTCTGCATCTTCTGCAACAGAGAAGGGAGCTCTTAAGAAGTTGTTTTAGGTTGATATTCATACATTCTGTTAAATATTTGCAATTCTGCCATGAAAAACCCATTAACTGCCACAAGATCAGAGTATAGACCCAAGGTTTTGTGGTCTTCCTCTTCTCCTTGAGAGGAACCCAGAGGCCAGGGAAACTCTAGACTGGAGATGTGCACTTCTGCAAAACACATTTCTCAGGCCCAGCCTTGGCTCTGCCCCAGATCTGACCTGGATAAGAGAGGCCCAGAGCCAGAGAAAGGACGTGTGACTTGTTCAGAAAGTTCTTACAGTCACATAGATGGTGTCCTGGAGGCCCCAGGATGGAAACTCCCTCAAGGTGCCCTCAGTTTCTCTGATGTTAGCACAAACCAGCCCAGGGTTATTGCCCAGCATAGCAGAAAGAGAGGCTGTGGGGCCAGCAAGCTAAAGGGGTTTCTGAGGCATGTCTGTGCTGAAAATGCATTTTGGCATCTCTGACAGAGCCAAAAAGACAACTCAGGTGCAAATGTGTTGTAGGAAAAAAAACCAGAGTCCTTACTTGTTTTTCTCTTCCTACCAGAAGAAATGGGAAAAATTGATAGCTGTTGATTTGGATTTGGGTGAAAAATTGATCCTACCAGTGCTGCTAACCACTCCAGCTATCTGTTCTGTGCTGTTATCTGCACTAGCTACACATTTAAAAATAAGGAAGAAAATTGAACATTTAAATGTCATCTGAGGCCATGGAAACCTCCAAGACAACATCCATAGAATCCAGATGTAAGAGCAGTGAGCCTAATTCTGATTTATTTACTCTGCCTGAAGGCACGTGGAGGTCAGGGGAGGTTGTGTCTGTGTCTCACCTATCAGACTTGTCTCCATACCCACTGAGGCTGGGCTCAGAGAAACCTGAGCAGAGAACTCATGTGTTGTGCTACTCTGACAGGAGCAGGGAAAGATTTATGAAAGACACCTGCGATATACATCATCTACAGTACAGAAAAAATGTACTAGGTATGATACAAAACAGTATGAGCGTGTATGTATATATGAATGCACAATATAATAAATAAAACTTTGTGTATAAATGTACAACAAAAATGAAAATATGAGGGAGGAAAAGGAAGATACTACTAAATTTACTAAATGCCATTAATTAGTAGCATATTTGCCAAAGCACGTGGCAAAGATGAGAAATGGAAAAAACAATTACCTGAAGAGAAACAACATTGGTTACACTCCTTGACATACTGAGATTATGGGCTTCCCCATTTGGTTTTACATTGAGTTCCTTTTCTGTTTTGGTGAGGGATCTTGAAGCTGTGTCAAAAACATATTCCCTGTAGAAAAAGCAGAAGCAACACACACACAGGCAGACAAATAGAAGAGACTTTTGAGTCATGATGTTATTTACAGGATCAGCAAGTCATGATTCGTGCTCCATTGAATATTTTTTGCACACTTGCAATCCAGCTCATCACTTTGTTGTTCATTTAAAATATGCCCCATAAAAATGAGGTTAAAATATGAGGAACTGATGGTGTATATTGGGTGTAACCCTGCCAAAGTGGGACCTTCAAGCAGGAAATAACTACCTGGTGGCCTCCTCCCTTTCTCCGAGACATCAAGAAGTACACCAAAACTTCCCAGCTTAGAAAAATCAGCTCTAATCTGCAAATAGCGTCAGCTGTGCTGCAGAATGAAGTGCAGGAAGCCAGACAGGTGCCTTCTGATGCAGGGCACATCAACAAGATAAGGGTGCTGCCAAGGTGGTGGAGCAACATTTGTGTGGTTTCATTTCAAGCTAACTTTACAAGCCCTTGAAATGAGGAGAAAAAAAAGAAGAGAGCAGAGAGCCAGGCTGAAGGCTGAGCCTACCCTGGCAGAATGTGCTCTTTCAAAATTCATTAGGGCGTTCAGGTTCTTCAGGAGTGATCAGGGGTCATCCCCGGAGCAGCTGAACTTACGAACTCTGTGTGCCTGCGGGTTTGCGTCCTTTCTCTTTTCTCTCAGATGTCCCAGCATCCCACCCAGACCCTCAGGATTCCCAGCAAGGAGGAGCTGCCAAGGAAAGGCATAGCCATGCAATTACCTGTGCTTGACCCAGGTGTCTGACTCGTGGGCTCTCTCAGTGTAGTTCTCGGGCAGGAAGCCCCTGCAGCCGGTGCGGTGTGAGGTGCCGATCACCCAGCCCTCGCCTGCCTCGCTCTGCTGCCTCGGATCCACGTAGATCAAATCCCCAGCGTTGATCATCAGCTCATCAATGTTCTGGGGCTTGTACTGGAAGAGGGCCCTGAGCCTCTGCGGGGACACACAGCAGGGTCAGGGTGTGCCCTGGGCTGTAGTTCGTCTATCCTGGATGCAGAACGTCTATCCTGGATGCAGAACCAGCTCTGTTTGCCACTCTGCACCTGCTCTGCAGGGGCACTTTGGCAGAGGAAAAGTGTGGGGGTTTTGGAAAGAATTTGAGATGGAACCTCTCAAATTTTTTAGTTGATGTGATTTATTTTTCCTCTATACAGGCAGGAAGGGTGAGTTTGGCTCATATCTTTACTTCATAGTTCAGAAGATTACAAGACCTCTACTTACGAGACCTTTTAAGGATTTGTTGACCAATAAAACACTGCCAACAAGGATATTTATGTTTTTGACCCAATCCTTAAATATTTTGTCTTACAGACCCATGCTACAGTATAAGCTTTCTTATCCAATCATATTATTGGCTAAGATATCACACAAACCTACAGTACTGCATTCTAAACTTCTTGTTTTCCTCTGTAACTACTTTTATTTTTCTATATCTTACACTCTAAAACTCTAAACTTTCCTCAGCTTAACATATCTCTGCTTTAAACCATAAAGCCACATTCTCGCTTCTAGCACCTAAGTTTGGAAGCCTTTTCCAAGATCTCAGATAAAATTCTGTGCTTAATTCTTTGGCTTCCAGGCCGAAAGTTCAGAGAATTCCCTGCATTTCAGATTCCAACAGAAAAGGAAGAACAACCACACTTAGAAAAGATTTTAAAGCAGGCACTTGGTTTTCACAAAAATACATTTTTTCTTCTCTAACTGCTTTTATTTGAAAGCAAACATAGATATGACCTGTTTTTGCGATTTCTTGCAGCTCTCCTGAGTGTGACTAAAATCCAACACGAGACTTGTGACAAAGTGATTTACTGCTCTGACAAAAAGCTGTTGAGCATTCTGTAAATTTAAATTTGGAAATGAGAACTGAAAGAATGTTGAGTGGTTTCAACTACGAGTCTGCTAAAATCATCAATGAGACCTGACCCCTGCTCACAGCAGCTGCAGTTTTCATCATGGCTGGATCAATCAAGAAAACTAATTTTGCTGAAGGGAATTTTGCTGCAAAACTGTGAACTGGCAAATCCTAGAGAATATTAAAGAATGATGATTTCTTGTCTCTTGTTTTCTCATGTCATGGTAAAATTAGGTTTTTTCCCTGGGGTTTGGAGTTATAGTTTGAGACATACAGGTCAAGCAATCTGCCAAAATAAAGGTATTATCTACTGATTCAGGAGTGCAGTTTTTTCAGCCCAAAATGGCACTGGAAACAACCATGCTCTTTGAAACACTGGGCTGAGCAAGCAGAGATTTTCTTAAGGATGGAAAAGGCAAGGTGACTGTAGCTAAGAAAATGAAAGGCTCAGGAGATGAAATAAATCTGATTCCAGTACCTGGTAGTGCACAAAGCGCATGTCCCGTGAATAGAGAGCAGCCACCCACTGGCAGGGCTCCCCTGGGTTAATGCACTTGGCCAGCTGTTCCAAAGTCTTCTGGTGGTGAGGATAAAACCTGTGAGCCAGGGTAAGGTGGAACTGCTTCAAGGTGGGCTTCACGTGGCAGTCTAGGGGTGAAACAATCACAGCACAACATAGGAACAAAGGTCATTTAATGCTTCTCTTGTTTTATCCTACATAATCTGCATGATGTAGGAAATATCACAGTAATGAGTGGTAGAGCAGATCTACTGAGTAATGGTTTTGAAGGATGTCATGGTTTTAATCACGCCAAAATCATTCACAAATGTGGACTGGATTCGCTTCCTGGCTTCATCTGTGAGGAAAAGAAATGATCATGGTTGGATTTCCTCTCCCAGCCTGAGGTGCACTGAACTCATTTCTCCCAGACAAAGCTGTGGTGGGGCTGTGCCACTTCAGTCTACACTGGTGATGCAGTTTCCCTTGGAAAACAGGTATTGGGCCCTGTTCCTAGGGATGCAGCCAGGCCATTTACAAACTTTACAACATTTGTATATTCTAAAATAAATAAAATATTTTGCTGAAGTCTTCTCCAATAACTTTCCTCTTCTGAGTTCGAGCTGGGGCACAGCACCATGAGGGTGGAGATCTGGGATGTGTTATGTCCCGACCCATCTCAGATATCCTGATCAATCACCTGCCAAGTGGCACACAGGATCATTTCAGCTTCTAGGCAAAACTGCTGTGTCTTCAAAGAATAAAACATGCTCCTCTGGCTACTCTGCTTGCAAATCTGTTGGAGCAAAGGCTGTTTGCTGGTAGGAAAACATCATCTAAGCTCCCCTGGAGACGCAGGGAATGTTTTCAGTACTCTGGCTACACATTTGTGCTACCACCTTCCCATTTTCCCTCTGGTGTTGGTCCTACCTGCCAGGGCTGAAGCCTCTGTTGAGAATGCCACAGCAAAGTCTTTGAGGATGTTTGCCTGGCCGTCATCAATGAAGAAGCCCAGGTAGCTGGGAGATGCATGTAGTGTTAGGAAAATGGATGGTGGAAAGATCTGGCAAAAGCTGTCACCCACTTTCTTTAGGACATCATACAAGAATTCCACTTTCTGGTCTTCACACTGAAAGAAAACAGAGGAGGAGCAGGCTTCACCCACCAGCTCACAGCCAGGGTTGTAACCTCTGTCACACAGCACTGCCAGAAAACTGTGGGGCTGTAAACTTCCTGAGAAACACAAAATACCCAGGAATTTGCCTGAAATCCCTGACGTTGAACCCAGCAGTATTTGGCAGCTGGATCAGCACAGTGTCCTGGTTCTATAACAGGAGATGGAGCCTTCAACCCAAGGTTTATCCAGCTTGGGTAGGAAAAAGCCAAAATATTTTACCATCTGTCAGGTGTGCAGGAACCAGTCTGAAATGAGATAGGGATCATGATTTCCTTCTTCAATTCTAAGCAGGAATTTGTGTTATTGTTATCCTACAGTCCCTGAGATGTGCAACATGAGGGTTGCAATGCAGTCATCTCTTCCAGACAGGCCTTTAAACTTAATGCCTCCCAAGAGCGTGGATTATTCATTATTAATGAATGATTTTTGTTCTGTATAATTGTGTTTAATGGTCACAGAGCACCACTCAGTATTTTGCAACAAAACAGTCTTATTTTCACTGTCTCTACTCTTTGGCATGGTTGTGATGACCCACCTTTAGTAGGAAGGAAGCACTTAATGGTTTAACATAAAAGCATGATCAACAAAGTAATTTTTGTCTAGCTGCTCTAGCCCAAGCCTGTTTCAGCACATCCCAGACACAGCTGATGTTCATGTGATGCACCATCAACATGCTAAAACTGGATCCCAGGAGTCTCCAGAGTTTTTCCAGACCAGTCCAGTGCTGGACTGAACATCACAAAAGATTTCATAAAATCTTCAGCTTCAGTAAAAAGAGTAAAATTTGGGACCTGTTAATGGGGCTCTCTAGAGAAGGCAAATATTTTCCTGAGATTCCCACAGGCTTGTACCAAAGCTGTCTGCATCCTAGGATAACACTGTCCCTGCTGCACAGCTGGCTGATGGCAGACACTGCTGCCCTGGATGGGGAGGTTAATCATCCTAAATCCATGCAGCAATGAAAGTAAATGGAGCACATGGAAGCCTGACAGCAGCTGGACTGCGCAGGGCTGGTCTAGATGGATCTACTAAAATGGCCCTGGAAAAAACCATGTTCTTTGAAACACTGTGCTGAGCAGGCAGAGATTTTCTTAAAGATGGATAAAACAAGATGACTGAGCAAAGAAAATGAAAGGCTCGGGAAATTAAATAAATCTGATTCCAGTACCTGCTGCTAGCTACCCTGAAACATCCCACTCAAACAACAACTGTGACCCAAACATTCAGCATCACTCAGAGAGTAAGCATCACTCAGACATTAATCATCACTCAGACATTAAGCATTGTTGGGGAAGATGAAAAAGGAAAGCCTTATAATATGATTGCCTGGCAAAAGATTTTGAGAATATAGAAACTATAAGCGAGATTGAAATGAAAGCAAGCTTTGAGATCCCTTAGTTACTGAACAACTGGAAAACAATGGTGTGGCTGGACTGAAGGTGATCCCCTTTTGACGAAACAATTCCCTCTGCTTGCAGACAGCTCCAAGGGTCAGAGCAGACCCTACCACCTTGGCAGAAGGGGTCCAAAGAGGAGTTTTTAGGGTTTAAAATGTAACACAGTATGGTAATGTAATGATTCTTATAGGCTGTATGGAATTGCTATAGGATTTGTGTATTGTACTAGATTGGTTAGTGAGAATCAGAATATTCAACACAGACGAAGATTTATGGTATTGTAATGGGAACTTTGCTCTCTTACCCCATTTACTTTCTTATGCTTTTGCTCTCTTACTCTTTTACTCTCTTACCCTCTCATCCTCTCCACCCTGCTCTTCTTTCAGGCCTGCTCCGAGCTGTGGCTGGCAGCTCCCAGCAGGGCCCTGGACGTGGGCCCTTTGCAATAAACCACAAGTTCCATGACCTGGCTGCAGAGATCTCTCATCTCCATCCATCCCGACCATCCTACCCCTGACACGCCTACAAAACATCTCTCAGACACTCACCATCACTTTAAGACATTAAGCTTTACTCAGACATTGAGCAACGTGCCTTCACCTGGGTCATGTAATTTGATCACCAACAAGTTCTGGTGTCAGACAACAGCAGGTGGCCCAGTTTCACCAAATATCACCCAGCTGAAACCCGACCTTGCACTGTCCTTGCCTCACCGTGAAGAAGTCGCAGAGGGTGACGTGTGGGAAGACCTCGTGGGCTCTGTTCTTGCCGCACTGGCGCTTGCTTTCCCTCCAGAAGTCCTGCAGGCGGCTGTGCAGGCGGCCCCGGGGGCACAAGTACAGGGCATATTCCTGGGGGATGGGGTCATCCAGGGAGGGGTCATTGCAGTGGGAATGCAGCCTGAAATCAAGAGTGTAATGCTGAGAGTGAATGTGTGCACCGCTCTGGTTTCCTGTGGCTGAAGGCCTCTATTGTCACAAACATGTTTTATGAAAAATCCTCTTGCTGGGATCTTTTTCTCCTGAGAAGCTGAGAGGCCTCAGAAAGGAAATGTAAACATTGATTATCTGCTGCTGTGGAATGCAGCAGGTGCATCTTTTATTGGTCTCATGTGGTTGTTTCTAATTAATGGCCAATCACAGTCAGCTGGCTCGGACTCTCTGGTCAGTCACAAGATTTTATTATCATTCCATTCCTTTCCTTTCAAGCCTTCTGATGAAATCCTTTCTTCTATTCTTTTAGTATAGTTTTAATATATCATTTTATTTAAATATAATATATATCATAAAATAATAAATCAGCCTTCTGAAACATGGAGTCAAGATTCTCATCTCTTCCCTTGTCCTGGGGACCCTCAAACACTCAAACATTTGGTGACCCCAAGTGAGGAACATTACCACACTCTATAACAGAGATAACAAAAAGGAAATACAGTTTTATTTTCTTTCAAATTAAAAGCTGAAGTTACAGCTCAATTTTTTTCTCTGTAGCATTAAATAACTGAGAATTTTTTCTACTTATTTTTTGACTACTTTACATTTTATCATGTGCCTTTACTTTTGTCAGTGTCTGCCAGCTGTGCAGCAGGGACAGTGTTATCCTAGGATGCAGACAGCTTTGGTACAAGTCTGTGGGAATCTCAGGAAAATAAGAGAAAACAAAAAATAACTTGTTTGGGGTTTTTTTCCCCCTTTTTCATGACTGGGAAGAGAGAGCTGGAGGAGGAAGAAGGCAATGGGTGGAACACATTGAAGAGTGACAAAATTAAAACCAGTTGAAGATTAAAAAATCACTCAGAATGAGCCTTTTTATTCAGCCCTAAGAAAAGCCAGCAAGGCAAATCAGAAACACACAAGGAAAGGTCAGAAATTTATATGCCATGTAATGATATAATTCACCACGTCTTTCATGTGATGTATGTTTGTCTTTGCAGCTGTTGGATTGGGAATGGATGCTGGGAAGTGTGGCAGCATCCCTGAAAAAAATTATTTTGAAAGAATATGCCATTCTCAAATGCATCCTCTGGCTTTTTACAAAAGAAAAGAAAATAGAAGAAAAAAGGAAAAAAAAAAACTGAACCAAGGGAAAAAAAGTAAAAGAAAGTGCAAGGAAAGACTATATTTAACGTGAAGGTGAATTAAAACAACAATAAAAAAATCAGTTATCAGCACATGAATGACTCTGTAAGAGTCTTGGTAAAGAAACTTTGTGGCATTCAAAACTGAGAAGTGATTTAAATTGTAAGAATACCTCCCTCTAACCATCAGCCTTTCACCTTAATTTGTGGTGGGCCTTTCTGCTCCCCTTCAGCTGTTGTTTCTGCATATGTTTCTAAGTGCAGTCATGGGTTTACAAAAATTTTCCCTCTTTCCTTGCTCCTTTCTCTCAGGAGACTTAAAGCTGAGGAGGATTTTCTGACCAAACCAGCTGGTCCTGTCAACTTACTCATTAATAACAGTAGCTGCTTGCTTTTAATTTACCTGGACCTTCTGCAAGTTTCCTTGTGTCCCAGAATAAGTACAAATATAAATATTTCTCTGAAATAAATGGGAAAAAATTCTCAAATTCGGGTTTGTTTTTTTTTATGGCACCTAACTTCAAATTCAGCAACAGGATGAACACATCAACAAGGATTTTTAAGCAGCTTTAATGTGAAGCCACACCTTAGGAATCACAGGTACTTACCATTTTACTGCATCTTCTACTGTCTTTTGTCCTGTAGCAACCAAGGCTTTTTGCCTAGAAAAAGCACAAAATTGGTTCCTCAGAATTCCTGAAAGAAAGCTTTTATGAAGTAAAGGCATTCAGTGACTGTGATCATCAAGTCTATTTTCCAGCACAGGCAGGACATTTAGCAAGAAGGTTTTTGCTAGCAAATGTTATTGTTCTTGAAGCCTTCCAAACAGCTTTTTCCTCACTGCAGGTCTTTAACTCCTTGAAGATTGGTAACCTGTCCTCCCCACCTTCGTTTGTGTTCTGGAGGTGTTTCCTTAGCAGCCTCACTGACTATATGAATTTCCTTGGGGTTAGATGAACCATCCATCCAAGCACTGTAAGAACAAGGTTTTCTTGGTTCATAGCAAAAAGGGGCTGATTTGAGATGCCAGGGCCAGGCCCATACATTAAAACTAAGCAAAATGATACTGGGGTTTGGAATCTGGATTGAGAACCCCCCAGAGCCAGCAGAGAGCCAGATCTAAGCCAGCAACTCAGAAATGAGGGACAAAATCTCTCATTTCTCCCTGTTAATGCAACTTCCGTTCTCTGGGGTAGGATTTGGTTTCCTTTTCTAACTAGAGCTTTCAAAAAGCCAGCTACGTGTTTCACATGAGCAAATCTTTGTGCCTAAATACTGGGTAATGGGTGTAAGATTCCAGTGTTCAAGCAGCAGCTGCATTCATGAGCCCCATTTCCACCCCTGAAAGCCACCTAAAAACTTTTCAGAAGAAACATCAAGAGGATGTAGAGACTGAGGACACTGGAAGAATGGAAGAAAACGACTGAATTTCTTGGCATCTGCTGATGTCTTTCCTTCTCTTTTGAGGCCATCTTTTCTGGCCACTGGCTTCTGAAGGCATTGAGTTGTGTTGTCTCCTCCCATTTTTGTTCCTCATCCATCCCCATGACAGACCATCACCCATCAGCACTGTGTGCACTGAGCTGCAGGACTCAGGCTCATCCTTTTGTTCCCTCCCAGTCTTCTGTCCTCTCCTCAGTGTAAAAACCACACTTGGGCTTGTTAATAGCATTTATATGCAGCCACTGCTGGCTCTTCAGTGGGGACCAACAGGGATGAGGACAAACATGAGCCTTTCCACTCAAACTTTACCTTCTACTTCTCCTCTGAGCCCTCCTTCTGTCCCTCTCCTCACACAGCTTTTCCTACTGTGCTGTCAGATTAAGCCTTTGTCTAACCCAAAGATGGGGCAACTAAGAGGTGTTTTAAAAACTTCTGTTCCATTTTCAGTCTCATGTGAAGGGTGAGACAATACAGATGTTATAATTCATGGCATCACAATCAGAAGCCGACTATTTCCTACTTACAATACATCACAAGTGTTTCTTGGCCTATCAGCTTTGGCCACACCATGCTGTAAATGCCTTAAAGCCAATCATCGAAAATTACCCCTCGTGGGTCCTACTCCAATGCATCTTTCATAGTTCTATTTCTCTAAAACATCTAGTCTTATTTGCAAGGCCATCCTTTGAAACTTGTTTCTAGCTCCATTTGTCTCTCAATAATGTCCATCCTATTCCATGGCATTTCTCAGTCAGCATTTATCTCAAAGTTTGCATGCAGATGCACACTTTGTGAACCTTCTGTCAGGCTCTGAGGATGCTCTACAAATCCATTTCTCACCCTGTGCCTTGTGGAAGTGTCGATGGCAGCGGTGCCAGGGTTCAGAACCACTCCCTGCACCTCCAAGGGAGTTTTACCATTTCATGCCATGCTGCTCTCCCACCTGGGCACAAGCTCTGAAGCTAAATCCGAGCTTGGCTTCAGCTTTTCTTTACAATAAGACCTTCAAAATTATCTGTAATAAGACAAGTGAGACCTGAGGCCCTGAACTGCCATCCTCCTCAGTCTCATCTCGTTGTTCCCTCGTGCTCTTCTCCATACCTGTCCCACCTTTTGTCTTATCACATATGAGGATGTGATTTCCAGCAGGAAATGATTTCCAGCAAGGTTTATAGAGCCCTTAGCACTAGGGATGTTTCTAATCCTACACTTCCAAGATGAGAAGTCAAAATTGAAAAATAATGCAAAGAATATATCTGCATATACCAATTTATCTCGGATAGAGAGAAGAATAAACCATTGAGAATCTGTAATGAAAGTAGACTAAAAGTACATCTACAGTGAGAATAAGCTGGCTCTTCTCTAAAACAGAAACTGCTGGCACAATTTCTTGTGGAAATTTTTTGATCTTAGGCTAGGCTTGACCCTCACATATTTGAGTTTTGTTCATTGGGGAAATGCTGCTTTGGCCTGTTGGTTCTACATGATGGAAAATTTTGTAATACTTCCACCCCACCTCATATTTTTCAGACCAGGACATCTCAAAATAAACTTTTCAGTACTTTCATTCATGGTTTAATCGAGGGACAACAGAGACAGCTAAAAGGTTTTTAAAAATGCAACCAAAATTTTGAAGCTCTCAAGGTCAATAATAGGTAATCCAATTTTTTTAAAATTGCTTTTTGATATTTTGTTATCTTACATCAATTTGCACAGTATTTCTGCTGCTGCTTCTTGATTTTGAACTGGGAAGGACAAAGTCATCTCAGTAACAGCAGAAAGCGTTTTGAAGGGGATTGGAAAAGCATCACATTAAACAGAAAAAATTCAAAAAGTGGACATTACTTTGACCTGACCAAAGTTACAGTATTAATAAAGAAATTATCAGCCATATTTTCAGCTAAAATTCCATTGTGCATCACTGGGAACAAGGGACTCACAGTTCTCTTGTGAGCTGTGCCCATCGTGTCTGATACTGATTGCTGCCACAGCTGTTCCCAAAAAACAACACAACACTCACAAATGGAGCCTCTTCCACTCATTTAATTTTTATTCAAAAGGTAGAGGGGTACTGCTCTTCTTTCTAAAATATTTTTATGAGGGGTTCTTCGATATTTAAATAATAAGATTTATTTTTTGAACAGTTTGGATGAAAATGTCTCTACTTGCCATCCAGAAATTGGAAAATTCTCCCCAAAACGTGCCTGTCCAACATGAGAGATGTTTGGGGAAGGAATGACCTGCATTTTTCTTTTCCATTAACTTGTTTGCCTGCCACCAGTCACTCTACCATCCATTGGAGTTGCCAGGAATAGAGCCTCATTCCTTACTATGACATTTTCTAGGCAGGACATGATTTTTGGAACAAGATCCTGATTCAAGACAGAAAGAAAAATTGACAGACTTAGGGGGCATCTTAATGAGAAAAACCAGTTTCCAGTGACACCGTTCAGCAGGAAATTTTTGCCAGGCCTGAAAAAAGCCTTTGGCTAGAAATTATACCCATGCTTAATTCCCTTATGATAAGAGTAATAAGCATAAAAAAATGAAAGAGCATATATCCCAAGAACAAACAATGGTCAGCTTCTCAACTCATTGAGAAGCCTCTCAAAACTCAGGATGTGGAAGGGTTTGCACCTTTAGATTTACAGCATTTTAAAATATTCAATATTGAGCAGATTGCTCAAATTGCTGTGTGGGCAATACCACTATATATGAGAATATATCATATATCATACTATTGATTTAGATTTACACAGTATTTTAGATTTACAGTATTTTAAAATATTGGGTATTGAGCGGATTGGTTTTGTTGTGTGGGCAATACCACTATATATGAGAAAATATATACATATATATATGTGTATATATATATATAAGAATATATATCATACTATAGATTTATATTTACACAGTATTTTTGATTTACACAGTATTTTAAAATATTGGATATTGAGCAGATTGGTTTTGCTGCACGGGCAATACACATTATATATGAGAATATATATATGGGAATACATATCACACAATAGATTTATATTTACACAGTATTTTAGATTTACACAGTATTTTAAAATATTGAATATTGAGCAGATCATTTTTGCTGGGTGAGCAATACACACTATATATGTGAATATATATATGATTATATATATCAAAATATAGATTTAGATTCACACAGTATTTTAAAATATTGAATATTGAGCAGATTGGGCTTGCTGTGTGGGTAGTACACATATATGAGAATATAGGAGAATAGATATGATATTATAGATTTAGATTTACACAGCATTTTAGATTTACACAGTATTTCAAAATATTGGGTATTGAGCGGATTGGTTTTGCTATGTGGGCAATACACACTAAATATGAGAAAATATATATATATATATATATATATATATATATATATATGAGAATATATATCACACACCATACTATAGATTTAGATTTACACAGTATTTTAGATTTACACAGTATTTTAAAATATTGAATACTGAGCGGATTGGTTTTACTGTGTGGGTAATACACACCATATATGAGATATATAACATTCTATATATGAGAATTTCACATATGAAATTCAGAGCAAGACAGGCCTGATCCCTGCTTGGGGACATGATCCCCAGGAGCAGCCCAATCTCCTGACCAAGAAACCCAGGCTGCCTGTATGGGGATGTTATGGCAAACCCCTCATATGTCGGATAAATCCCCCAGAGCCAGGGCAGCTGAGCACGGTACTCACGCGAGATGAGCCGGGAATCCTTTGGCCAGGAGAGGCTCCAGGAGGGCAGAGGTGCCCCTGCCCCGGGGCTTGTTGGACACCTTTAAGTACAGCTGTGCCTCGGCCACCGCCATCTCCTGCCTGTCCTGCCCTCCCTGTGTGCTCTGACACACTGGGAGGAGGGCGTGAAGGAGAGAGGGAGCGAGGCAGAAAATGAAACAGAGAGAAGGAGGCAGATAAAATTAAAAAAAAAAAAAAAAACCAACCTTACACCCCTTGTGATCTTTTCTGACAAAAGCTGACATCCTGTTTTCATAGAATCTGCGCCTCTGAATTTTTGTCGTAGGGTGGCTGAAAAAGCAAAAGTTTTTCTTATCTGCCGTGGCAGAACAAGATGAAGAGCCCAAAGGTAACCACCATAGTCAGGGTGGGCTTGCTGAAAGGGGCTGAGGTGGAATCTTTTAGCTTTTCATTATAAACTGTCTCCTGAAAGCCACAAAATCCATCTGAGCTGCAACTGCACCAGGGAGGAACAATTGGGGCTGTCCTGCAGTGAGTAGGAAGTTCATCTGGAGGCCAAAACCTTCCTTTCGGGCTCAGCTTTCAAGTCCTCCTGCCCATATCATATGTAGCTTCTGCTTTGGTCTTCTCAGCCAAAGGCAATGAGGAACCAAACTGTGGAAGATTAAACCAAATGTCCTACCCAGACATCTCACCCTGAGGCTGAGCTTGGAGCAGCTCAGGGTGGAAGCAGGGAGAAGAATTGTCCTTCCCAGTGGTGCCAGTCCCACTGTGGGAGCTTTGCAGAGCTGCCCTGGCTGATCCCCAGCCTTTCCAGAATGGCCAGAGTGGGTGAATTGGTTGGAGACAGTTTTTTCTGCCCTCATTGCAGGTATCAGTGTTTCCTCTGGAGGACAGGACGCCTCACTCCACGGGCTGAAGAGATCACCTGAGCTGCTGGTCACCTGAAATGAGCCCTCATGTTTTCCCCACTTTGGCTGAAGTTCCCCTTGGGACACCTGGCCAACTTGAGCTGGTTCTCCAGCCATTTGGAGAACCATCAGAACTGTCTGAAGCCTGGTGGGGAGAGTGTCCCCATTTCCAGGAAAAGCTGCTGAAAGAGTGACCCAAGAGATGATGAACGGTTCTTGATGCCATGGCTTAACAGGATCATGAGTGTCACCATCATATTTTCTGGAAAAATCCCTTTGCCAGGATTGCTTCTCCTGGGAAGCTGAGAAGCCTCAGAGAAAAATGAAAACAATAATTATCTGATTGCTTCTCCTGTGTTTTGCTGCTTTAGAATGTGGTTGGAGATTGTTTATCCAACATGTGAATTGTTTTTACTCCATGACCAATCACTGTCCAGCTGTGTCGGGACTCTGGAGAGTCACAAGTTTTCATTGGTATCTTGTTAAGGCCTCTGTCTGTATCCTTTCTCTATTCATTAGTATAGTTTTAGTATAGCATAATATAATATGATATAATAATAAATTAACCTTCTAATAACATGAAGTCAGATTCTGTGGAAGGGGCTAGATGTGGAGATTGAGGTATGCAGCCTGAGAGCTGTAGCAGCCTGAAGAGCTGTGGAGATGGAGATACGCAGCCTGAGAGCTATGGAGGAATATGCAGCCTGAAGAGCTGTGGAAAATATGTGTAGCAGCCTGAGAGCTGTAGAGAAGAATATAGCTATTGAACCAAGGAGCTGTGGCAGCCAGGGAGAGCTGGGACTGGATAGGGATATGTATATTCTATGTATGTGTTTAAAGACAGCCGAGAGCTGTGGCAGCCTGAGAGCTGGGACTGTATGTATATTGTAATTGTATAATTGCTAAAAGTAAAGGGGGGAAATGTGGGGGCCTGAGTATATGTTGTATTGTAAGATCTGTGTGGGTCCGAGTTGCTCCAAACGAGCTGCAGCTGCAAAGTCCTTAGTTGGGCAGCAGCTGTGGCTCGTGAAGGTAACTGAAATAAACAGGGGTGGGTCGAGAGCCCAGGAGGAGCCCCTGAGAAGATGGGAAGGGTTGTGCTGCATAGAATAGAGAAGAGCCCCAGCAGAGAGGCAAGAACAACACTGCAGTGAATTTACCAAATATTTGTCAATGGCTTGTGGCACAGGCCTTGTCAAAAGTGTGGGAGCAATTTAAAAACTGCTACTGCTATCATTACATGGATGATATCTTCTTGGCATCTGACAACAGACAACAGTTGTCAGCTCTTAAACAATGTGCTGTGACAAGTTTGAAAGGCTTTGGTTTGATCATTGCTCCAGAGAAAGTGCAGGAACACATGCCTTGGAAATACCTAGGTATGTTGCTGACCAACACTCAAGTTATGCCTCAACCTGTAAAGTTAGACATTGATGTAAAAACTGCTACTGATGTACATAAATTTGTTGGTTTAATAGGTTGGATTTGATCATATTTAGGCATAACTAATCAACAGATGCAGCCACTTGCTTTCAGGCATCATATCCTCTACTGATGAGAGGCAACTGACCTCAGCACCAAAAAAGACCTTAGAAGAAGTTGAATTAGCCCTAGCACACAAATTTGTTAACAGAATAGATACCTCTGTTGGTGTTCAATTGTTTATTTTGAAAGACCATGAAATACCATGCGGAATACTATGTCAATGGAATGATAATTGGGAAGATCAACTGCATATTCTGGAATGGAAGAATGGGAATTTTGTTGATGGTTGTGATTGTGATTTTGTGTGTCCCCTCTCTGCTTGGGTTTTTGCAAAGGACCCTGCAAAAATCCATAGCAGCTGTATTTACAGTTCAAAAACAAAAAAAGGGGGAATTGTGGAAGGGGCTAGCAGCGGGCCTGTTGGCTAAAGGAGTGAGAAGTCAGAAGAAGAAGCTGAACCAAGGAGATCGAGAGAAGAAAGATAAGAGCATTCTGCAACTGGAGGGGAAACAACTGGAAAGTGTATCAGCCATTTTCACTAATGAAGTGTTGCCAACTGTTGCCAACGGTTGCAAACGGTGCTAACGGTTGACAACTAAGACTGAGTGTGCTTGTGGTCTCTGCTTTAATGCCGTGACCGCCTCGACTGCGACAAGATTCATGATTTCCCTCCTCCAGAGGGGACCCCAAAAATACCACACATGAGGTGGTGTCCTCTCCTTTGGAAGTGCCAGTCTCCATCTTGCACAGAAATGGGACTGAAGAATTTGTCTCATCTCAGACATATTCTAGGGCCATGGGTTTTTTTCATTTCCTCCCTGTCCTCTCAGGAGCCTTGTTTCACTTACACTTCTGTGGCTTTTTGCATCATCCTTCTCCTTCTTCCCTCCATCCTTCCCTCTATCACTTTCTTCTAAGTGAAAACAACCCAGCCAAACTATTACTACTCTCGAGTATTCCTTGCAGCTGAACTTATGTAGCCATGATGTTTTATGAAAAATCCTTTCCTTAGGATTTTTTTTTCTCCTGAGAAGCTGAGCGCCCTCAGGAACAAAATACAAACAATGGTTATCTGCTGCTGTGATATGCAGCAGGTGGATCTGTGATTGGTCTCATGTGGTTGTTTCTAATTAATGGCCAATCACAGTCAGCTGGCTCAGAGTCTCTGAGAGTCGAGCTTTTGTTATCATTCCATTCTCTGCTTTCCTTGCTAGCCTTCTGATGAAATCCTTTCTTCTATTCTTTTAGTATAGTTTTAATGTAATATATATCATAAAATAATAAATCAAGCCTTCTGAAACATGGAGTCAGATCCTCGTCTCTTCCCTCTTCCTGGGACCCCTGCGAACACCACCACAAACGTACATTTCCATTTTCTAGATCCCAGAGTACAACTGAGTTGATCCTTTAGCAACGTGAGACGGTGCTTTTTCACAAACCCTCTGCAGGCACACGGCGAACGCTAAACCCAGTGAAGGAGGAGCAAGGTGAGTCTGTGAGATCAGAGATGAAGAGATGAACTCTTGGGACTTCTGCTGCTCAGAGTGACTCTGAGATACATTAGAAAGTCTCTTTTCCCAGCCTGGTAGTCAAAGAAGGAGTCAGGGCTCTTCAGTTCTTGGTCTCAAGGTTGTTTATTGTTTCTTATCTATAAAATTTTTTCTCCTGTCTGGCCAAGGTCCACTCAGCAAGACAGTCCAGGCACTCTGCCTGCCCCCTGGGGCAGTGTTATCTTTTTATACTAAAAACTATGTTTATAATATTTAGAATTGCTTTCCAATACCTATCACCCATGTTAGACAGTGAACTTCTACTCTAAACCAATCTGTAAGTGCCAACACCACAGCAGAAGATGGAGGCCAAGAAGAAGAAGGAGAAAGGCTGGACATGCCCAGATTCCTCCATCTTGCCTCCTGAACTCTCATTCTAAAAACTCCAAAAATCTATTTTTCACCCTGCGATAAATTCACTGTCATTCTGCTTAAACTGTTGTGGCTTGCAGATCTTCATCTGAGGTTGGTAACTTGCTCCATGGGTCATAACCATCAAAACCACAGGGGCACCTTGGGGCTCTGTGCCAAGGTCTCTGAGCCCCCTGGCAGGGGTCCTGGCAGTCCAGGAGAGCCAGAGAGATGTCCTGAGTTCTGACCATGAAGGGATGAAGCCCTGGGGCTGCTGCTCCCTGCCTTCCCTAGCTCTTCATGCTCAGTGCCCTCCCTTTTGGCAGAGGATGAGCGAGTGCTCATGGGGCTCCTTTGCTAAGGGTTTATGGGAAGGTTTGCAGATGTTGCAGTGTTGCCTGGTGTTTTTCAGCTAATTAAAGAGCGTGCTGAATTTTTATCTGCCCCTTTCCGTAGCCATGCCATCCAGGGCCACCCGATACCCCTCTGCAGGTTGGGTTACATGGCTGCGGCCCTGATGCCGCACGCAGCAGCCGGCTGGAAACCCTCCCCGAGCAGAGAGGCTCAGCAAACCCTGAGCTTGATAATGAAGAAGGAAATCAGCTTTGCTTTTAACTATGACTTCCCAGGAAGAGGTGAGTGAAGATTTGGGAGCATGTGATAGCCTCTGGATAAGTGAAGTGTCAGTGTTTGGCTTGCATGTAATTTGGTTCGCAGTGCTGTTTTGTTTCCTGATGGGCAAATTATGCACTAGCTAGAAAGCTGTTTTGGTTTTAATATTTAAAAATTATGCTGGCAGATTCTCTACAAAGTTTA